GTGGAAGATGTCCCTGCTCATGGCAGGGGGGGTGGAACCAGATGAGCTTTAAGGTCCCTTCCAACCCAAACTGGTCTATGGTTCTAAGGATGGAGCTCTGAGCAACCTGGGCTGGTGGAATATGTCCCTGCTCATGGCAGGGAGGTTGGAACCAGAAGATCTTTAAGGTCTCTTCCAACCCAAACCATTCTATGATCCTATGACATAGTCAGTGCGCCCTTCTCCGCCCGCTAAAATGGGGTCAAGTAGAGCAAGGTTGGCTACCCTTCCACCCATCCAGATACTTGTTCAGCTCAGAACCTACAAAAAGCTGCACCACAGCTTTTTCCACCACAGTCATTTTTCTTGACTTCCTTTCTGGAGATTACAGAGTTCAAGCAGTAAGATACGTGAGGCTCCAGGACTAGAAGCGCCAGGTTAGATAGGTACTAATTCACATCGGCCTTGGTCAACTGCTTCTTACTTGCTAAAGCTCACCAAAAAGACTTGTGCTGCGAGACGGGAGAAGGACGATGTGCAAGCCCATGGGAATCATCAGGGTTCGTTGCACAGAACTGAAGGAAATTCTGAACTAGAACTTGAGAGCGCAACTCATCCGCAGGGTTACTTGCTAGGCACTCGCATTTAGCTCACAAATACCTCTTTAGAAACATGTCATATGGGTTCTCATTGAGAACGTGTCACATGACAGAAGAGGAATAAGAAACATGCACTAGAAAATGCAGTGTTCCAGAAAGGTGTCCCAGGGCAGGGAATCTCTCTGCAGGACCAAGGAGTGATCTGTATCAAGATGTTCCACCTCTTTCTTTTTCAAAGAGCAATAAAACAGAGATTTGTATCAGAGAGCTATGACAGAATTCTTAACCGCGTGGCATTGAAACAAACGGAACATCAGAAGGGTTTAAAGCTGTTGAGATCTCACACAGCTGCAGTCCCAGACCTAAAAAAAACCCAGTGTGTGTGGGCCAGCGGAAGACAAAAATCAGCATCACTATGTAGTATTAAGCGCAGACACTTCCCAATCATAAAATATTTAAAGCATCCACCAAAATAATAGTGCTTCCCGAAGCTAACACAGATTACCAACAGCAGTCTCACATACGGTAAGAACACGCAAGCTAGCGTCAAAAGCGTTACTGTACCAGGCCAGGAAGCACAGCAGACGGACCGCGATATACAGGTACACAGCCAACCCGCAGGCAAAGAGAAGTCCTGTAACAGATTTATTTTTGTCCTCTTTCCCAAGAGTAGGGATTGTGGCGGCTAACTGTCCCCTCTCTGCCACCCTCTTCCCTCAAGCCACATCTATACTGGGTAGCACGAGCAGAGGCAGGGGGATGGGCCCAGCGTGCAGCCCCGACTGCTACTGATGGGGCCCCCACCTGTGTGACGGAGCCACACCACACCCCACAGCCCCCCTGACCCCTCATCGCTCCAGCACAGCACCTCTTGCCTTCCGCTGTTCCAGGGGGAAAAGACCTCACCTGGAGACAGCAGGCTGCACAGATCAGACTCCCAGAACACAAGCTTTTCAGTTTGGACTTCAACATGATTTCTCGTCAACAGAAACTGCAGGAGCCTAGCCCTTTACAAGTCTTGCTACGTTTTCCCACCCAAAGCAGAGGCTGAGCAAAAGGATTTCTTCAAAAGGATAAATCAAGCAATCTGACTTCGGTGCCTCTCTACAGAGTTTCAGCAGCATGGGGCCATCTTGGGTTCGCGCTCGCCTGACAGCCTGCCATGGCACTGCTGTGACCAGCACTTCACACAGCGGTAACACTGCTGGCATCCCGGAAGGGCAGCAAGCACCTGACTAAATTCAATAAGTTCATTCTGTCTTCCAAACAGTTAGAAAAGCAGGACATAAACCGGCCAGTTCTCTGGGTCTCCACCCAGGTATTTCGCTCAGACCCACTGCGTTTAGTAAGTGGCAGAAGACGCAACACGCGAAGACCGGTCTCAATGTGGACAGCTCTGAAGAGCACGGAGGAAGAACAGAATCAAGCGATTTCCAAATAGTTTTCAGGAAGGTAGTAAGTCCCTCTGTAAGGCTAGCAATATGACAGTTTTCTGCCTGCTGTTAGGGAACTTCAGATATTGCATTTTGCATAAAAGGCTCTGGAACCCCTCCAAGGAAGTCAGTTTGATTTTGGATGACTGCGTACTTCTGCTACAAGCACAACACTCTGCTCACAGCTGACACTGTTGCATAAGCAGTATCTCAGCTGACATCCTTTTCAGGTTTAGCACTTCACTAAAATTGCTCAAGATACAGGTTATGTTAAAATTAAAATGACCCAATCAATTGCAAAAGCATCAAAGACAGAAATACCCTAGCTGCACATGCCACTGAACACACCCTCGGATTCCGCCTTGCTCCTTCCTAAGTGCAGCTATTCCTCTAGCAGTGTGTGATCGGCCTTTTACAGAGGGACTCGGACCTCCTACCACAGAAATCCACAGCTGAACGCTTTCAAAAACCAGGTGCTGCACACCTAAACATACCTTTAACAGATCCCAAATCCCAAAGCCGCTGCCTCCACACGGGGCTTTGTGACACAACAGACAATGAAGATCAGTTTATCTGCTGCTGTTAAGTCCCACGCTAAACACAACTTGCTACAACAAACTTCTTCATGCTGTTGTTCCTAGCTGGGGCAGTGAGCTCCTGCCAGATAGATCTCTTGGAAGAGTTTAGCAGACATCCAAAATACCACATGAAGAGCAGGAAAAACACAAGGAGCGAGAAAGTTTATTCTTTCCTGAATATTATCACCAAAAGGAAGAAGAGTGTTAAAAAGCCTCTCTGAGCAAACACTAATTCTGCTGCCATGTCTCAAAAGATCTAATCTCTAAAGCTGAGCAAAGCATTGGAGACAAAACAAATCCAGCAGTAAGGACTGAAGACAGCCAAGGTATCAAGCCATATAAGGAAACATGTAGCAACCATCACTGAAAGGCAGCAACTTCACTTGCTATTTTAAGGACTTCTGTTTTCATAACACTCTCCAAAAAAAACCAAGTACCACTTTGTGCAGTATCTGGAGTGATGTTTGACAACTTTTCAAACATTAAAGAGTCATTATAAAAAGTTGCTATTACTCAGAGATACACTCAAGGAGATTTCAAATTAGGAAGTGGACTCTCATCACATTATTTCCTTCACTTAAAATTTTCCCCACTAGCATAATTGGCGCTGCCATGCTTGTTAGAGCAAGGGAGTGTTTAATAGCAAAAAAGCTATTTTTAATAGTTTTAAATCCCCAAACGCCTGCTCAGCTAACAACAGGCACTGGCTCGGCTGGGAGGGGTTAATCACAACGTAGCACTTCAGATTTTATTCTTTCTTTTATTATGCATATGTTAATCTTGCAGGTAGGAAATGTCAATAAAACAAGGAAAAAAGTGTAGGTATGTTTTTTGCAGTAATATTTACCAGTCATGCTGCTGTCTCTGTTTATTCCATTATGAAGTTTACAGTGAACAAATGCTGCATCAAATAACCATGATCCAAAGAGGTTCAAGATGCTGTTAACCTTTGGCCTGCGAGGAGCTGGTAGTGGCCGTGGCTCAGAACTTGTCTGGTTTGGGCTAGAGAGTGGAGAAGTAGAGGAGGGTTGGTGCTGCACTTTTGAAGTATGTGCAGTAGTTACCTATTCAAATAGAAGAACAAATCAGCTCCTAGAAGCAAGTAAATTACTTCCTCTAACCAAGGAAACTATCAAAAGGGTCAGTTACTTAAACACAGAGTATGGAGTCTTACAGTGCTGGTTTTCATCGTTGCTTTATTCACAGTCACTGCCCGATGCCTCCGGTTATGGGGCGGCGTGGTGTTGATCGCGGTGTTCTGGGGCATGCTCAGCCTGTTCACGGGCGTGGGCGGTGCGCTGTCTGACCGGGGTCGGGAAATGCCTGCACATCAAGAAATAAAGCAAGCTGTCAGCAAGAATTCCAGAGGCTCATACACAGCAGCCCCGTTAGTAAGCATTTGGCCTTCTGTAAACAGAGCAGCTTTCCTCCCTGCACCCCGAAACAGCAGCAGTAAGAAAAACATCTCTCTCCTTTCACTACTCGCACAAATAAACGCACAAGCAAAAGAATACCCTGCTCGCATTTGATGAGCTAATAATTAAAGAACACCAAAGAACCCCACACCTTAAGAGTGGGGAAAACGGCACATGGGAGGACCAACTCCAGCAGCAGGCAGAGGGGAAGGGGCAAAGCCACCGTAACAGCTCTCCTGCCCAAATTCAGAGACCTCTCACCTCTGCCTTTCTCTCCCACCCACACCTCCCAAGGCCTCTTCTGAGACAGCTCTAAGACGTCTGGCCCTTCAAAGCCAACTTAGCTCACTAAATTATGATGAAATCCATCCCCAAGCAGTTTTCTGCTGGTTCTGAGCTGCATCAGCTTGCTGAACAGTCCAACACTAAGTCAGTACAAGAGGTGCAGTCAGAAAGCAGAGCAAGCTGTAATTTTTCTGGCAGCAGCAGGACATCAGATCAGTCTTCACCCAACTTCAGGGAAATACTCTTGGTGTATACAGGTACTCTTCCCAGCCAGAACCCGAAGCAACCAGCCCTCTGCAAAACTTCAGGTGACAAACACCACTTCTTCCCATTTTAAGGAATACCATCACCCTCACACCCCGTGTGTAAAATGAAGTGTGGAATTGCAGAGTGCTTGAACATTTGACACAGATTTTTTTGACCACATTAATTAAAGCACACAAGTAGCTTGTGCAATATGTTACAGAACACCTGCATGCACTATGAAACGTACTGTTTTGGTGTACTTTCTTGGAAAAGAGGATGCAGTATTTTGCCAAACGCACACATCATGTAAGCACGTATCAGGGAGGGCGAGATAAAAGCCACGTGCGTTGGCACTTGGGGTAGGAGGCAGCGAGACCTCCGTCAGCCTTAGCTGAAGGGGTCCGTACCGCAGCTCTAAGGTCTGCCGCAGCACACGCCCATCCCCACCTCCAGCTGCAATTTAATTTCACCCAGAGCTCCCCTGTGCCCACGTGCATCGCAGCCTGCAGTCTTCTTCTGAACTCCAGGCGAGCTATCATCACCCTAGGTGTTTCATCTTGCTACATGAGATCTTTAGAAGTCTGAAGTCTCCGATTCAACGTCCCATCAAAAGCTCACGGAGACAGCAAAGCTCCTGGCGAGCTTGCAGGAGAGCCTGGGCTGCCAGGGGCCCACAGCAGCCCTCCACAGCCGGCCAGGGTAGAAGACCTCAAGCCCAGACACCACCACGGACCCCACCACTGCACCCAGACAAGGAGCTGCAGGTGTCACCACTGTCACCCCAGGGGGAACGGAGTCCCAGGCAGCCAGATGCAGCCCATGAAAAAGACTACCACACCATGAGTGGGTCAAAAACTTCAGGTGAGAACCCCAGACTATTTTTAGGGTGCAAGACGAACTCACGATAACAGCTATCCCAGTAGAGGTGCACGCACTGGGCAAAGCAAACAGCTGCTCCGCTTCTTCCTCTGCCTCCACTGCAAGATGCCCCCCGCATGAGTACAATTTCATGCACTGAAAATTACTTACTAACCACTTTCACAAAAACCTTGGATATGGTATTTTTTTCCTCAATACTTACTGTATTTCATAGCTTTTTCAAAAACTTTTTAGTTCAGCTTAGACAGCCAGTAAAAGATGCTTCAGAGTAACACCTTCTACCAATGCTCAATTAGACTTTTTTTTTTTTTAATTATTGTTTCAGTGCAGACTGCCAAATCCTATTATCATATGCAGGAAGACACCGTAATCAGGAGGTTGTTTTTGTAAGGTTAGGCCACGTATTGCCTATACGCAATCCTCCTCTAACAAACTATGATATTATGTGACAGCCTACTGAATATTTTAAAGCTCACACCTGGTATTAGTAAGAAGCAATCATTAAAATTCCTTACAATTGGTGGCAAGACACCTGGAAGAACACAGTGGACACCACAGGTTTCAAGATTCAATATCACAGCTTAAGAAATATGACCATTTGCTCTTTTACATCACTTCATAACTTTTTAAACAAAGCTATTTCTACAAAAGTGAAATCTAAAGTGACAAACACACGTTTGCACTGGGGAATACAGTACCAATAAACTTTTTCCTTTCAATATTTTTACAGAAACACAGAATGTATTTCTAGTAAAAAGGATCTTATAATTCTGCGAGACAGGAGGATCTTGAAGTGCTTTGCTGAAAAGGACTAAACCATTGAGATTTTACCAACAGACAAACAACATGCAAAAGCTGACAGTCTAATTCTGCAGCCAGGTTTTTTTCTGAACACAGTTTCCGTATCTGCTCAAGTCTTCTGCAGACTCGCATCAGCTCACACCTCTGGCAGATGACAACATTAGTCTGCATACACTGAAGCAAAAAAGCAGTCGGAGACAGGCAGCTCTTCAGAGTTTACAACAGCACGTTATCTCTGAAGAATTTTGATAAGTCTGAAGCATGCTGAGAGTAATGCCTTAGATTCCAGGCGCTACTGTGCTACTTTGAACTTACCAGCCAGTGCTTACACCTACTTTACCTTCCAGTCAAACCTGAGCCACGCAGCTACCAGCTGACACAAAGAAAACCAGCTTTTCTTCTCAGCAGTACTAGCCACCCGCTAACCGTGAACTAAGGGCAACTGGCACTTGCAGGATAACGATCTGAAGATGACAGTCAAAATCCAGGACCTTCTAAAAATGGGCACCGCACACAGCTATTGCCACAAAGTTTCTAAACAAGGTGGTCAGTGCTCAAAACATGCTAAAAGCAACTTGCATTGTGGATTAGACAAAAAGAAAAAAGACTTGTTTGGGGAAAGAGATGGCTGGTTTTATTTTACACTTCATATTTACTTATTTGTTTTGCATGTGAAACTAAGGCCCCCTACAACTTCACGCAGTCAAGTATTATTATTGTGTATACAGATGTTCATTTAAAAGTGACCTGGGTCCCTTCCCTATCAATTCCAGGACACGTTTGCTAAAATCATTATGACTTTATTTATGGAGAAGATAGACTGGAAGAGAATGAAGTAATGATTACGTTACTATTCCTAGCTATCCACAGGTAAAACAAAAGCATTACCTAGGAACGCATCCACTAAACAGCTGATCCCACGCATGGCACGAAAGAATATCTGAGGCAGATGTTTAAGGCAGGGGTACTGATTCAGTTCTTGAGTCATCCCACTCACATTCAGAAACTGCTCCTGAAATTTGGGGGTAGAGCTAATAATGGCTGGGTTACTCAAATCCACAGGATTACTGCACACAAAGAGAGCAAGATATATTTTAGTGAGTTTAAGAACAGCTGTTAGGATTTTTAAAATACTTCAAGATGCAATAGTTTAAGGTATTTAAATAACAACACAAAACAGCATCCAATATCCATATATCTTTAGCTGTTACTCCATCACAGCAAGGCAGGTTTCACTTCCTGCTTGTCTTTATTTCAAACGTTACCCAAATACACTGAATAATTTTATTACAACCCAATAAACCAGAGCATACACTCGATAGAATAATCCCACCGTTGCAGTAATATTAATAACCTCTGAGGTCTTCTGAACTCAGCTTAAGAGGTCCTTAGATTGTCAAAATTATTCTCAAAATGTAAGCTATGAACTAAGTATTGCCAGCAACCAGTGACACAACCGGGCATGGGTTGTAAAAGCTTGAGCAATTTCTCCTGACTGATACAAACCCTGTAACAGCAGTTCCAGGTTTGAGGAGTACAGTACTGGTGACATCACTATCACAAATGAAGAAAAAGAACAGATTTTGTTTTTTGGGTTTTTTTAGTTAGTTCAGAAGTAGATTTTTAACAGTATAACCTTCACCTAGCTTTAATGAGTACATAATGCTTATGTAGAAAGGTTATTATTCTGGCTTTTCAGAACATTGATGCCATGCTGTCATGGTTTAACCCGACAGCCAGTAACTGAGCCCTAGCCAGCCGCTCGCTCACCCCTTCCCCCCCTCCCCCGCCAGGGGATAGGGAGGACAAACGGACAAAAGGTAAAACTTGTGGATTGTTTCATGAGACAAAGGAAATACTAATACTAAAAAACAATAATGGTAACGTACAACTTTTTTTTCTCACTGCCCGACAACCAGCTGTGTAGCCAGTCCCCAAGCAGTGATGGCAGAACACAGAACTCAGATTTTGCAGAACTCCCAAAAAAAAGACCGAACCCACAGAAAAGTCCAAACTCCCAACTCATGGAAAAGAGAGGATTCCTGGCCCCCGGCCAATCCTCACCGATAAACTGAGCATGCTGTCCACCGTGTGGAATATTTCCATGGCCAGCTCGGGCTGGCTGTCTGGCTGTGCCCCCTCCCAGCTCCTGCACAGCTGCTCATCAGCTGAACGTGAGACTGGAGAAAGTCCTTGATTTCTTAGCAAGAACTAAACCATCAGTGTTATCAACATTCTTCTCATACTAAAGCCAAAACACAGCAGCTACTGGGAGGAAAATTAACTCTGTTCCAGCCAAAACCAGGACACATGCCATTCCCAAGAAGCTCTGAAGCCAAGCATCCCACTTGGTTCTGCTGTGTATTTAAGAAACAGTAACATGGATGTTAAAATTAACTGTATAGCCTTCTTCATAGAAATAGAGATGCACCCATTTTAAAAATAATCTCTCATAGGTTAAATTTAACACCCTGGAGAATAAATGGAAGCAGTATACATCTCTCAGAGCTATTGTTCTGCTTTTCCTGTTTGCTATCTCAGAAACTAAACTGTACTAAAGTCTTGTTTTTCAGATCCTCCAAAATGCCAAAGAGCTAAAAACTTTTTGATTAAATGAATTAGTTTACAATACGAAAGAGTCAAAGAGTTCAAAGTTGAAAAACCCACTCACAACCTTGCCGTGGACCGCTGCAGGGCACTGGCACAACAAGTCTCCCGCACTTTATTCTGTTTCGGTGCTTAATCTTAGCAATCTCCAGAGAAATTTTTCATTTGTCATGCAAATTTCTAGAAATGATGCAAGAATATGAACAAGGGATGGCTGTAATTACAATACCTCAGCATATGTAAAAAGCGAAACCAAGTTTGTGCAACGCATTCATTATCCATTTCGGGAGGAATCAGACCAGCATCTTCATCGGGAATTTTAAATGGAGGAAATGAAGGTCCATATGTAAAACGCAGCAGTCTAAAAAGCAAGTCAGACAGATCTGTCATTCAGTTAATACTCCTCAAAAACTTTACAGCGCATCGGAGCCTCAGAGGTATCGGCAATCCACAGGTGAGCCCACAAGCACCAACACAACATCCCAAGTTTTTCTAGAGATCCCCATTTTATACAGTCATTTAGCCCTCTTCAAGCTTTGAAGGGTCCATGCCTCGCAGCCTGACCGAGGGCCCAACCAAACCAAAGAACTCCTGTGCCCTAACAACCCACAGCCACTCTCCCGTCTGTTTAGCCAGGGGGGTTACCAGCTAACACAGGCACAACTGAAAAGATTTTACTTAGGGGGGAGATCGGTGAGGGGGATCGGAGGAGGGAGAAGGAATTTAAGCCCCTGTCCTCAGGGCTCTTTCACTGAAGTGTCCAATGACATCAGCAAGTCACATTAGGTTACAAGTCTAACTCTAAATGCCAAGTCACTGATGACTCCTAGTTTACACCAGCACACTGAGCAACACTTGATGCCATCCTACCAGCAGCACGGGATTTGCAGTCTGCAGAGTACCAAGCTCTTCCAAGAAGATGCACTACATTTTGCGGAAGCTGGGAGTTGCAGAACAGTGAAGAGCAAACCCACAGAGGGCTTCACAGCAGCGCAATATCATGAGGATAATGGCTTAGAGAAATGGAGATCTTTCTCCAGCAGTGCTATAGCTACCTGGTGAGACACCAGTAAGCTTCACTGAGCCACTGCTGTCCGATTTGACTGCTGCTTCATTCCCGACTCTGCAAACTTATAGATCAATTGCCCTGATCAACATAATCTTGGTGGTTTTTAAAGGGATGGAAGAGATCCAAGTTGCACCTTTTCAATATCCTAGCATTCCCAGAAATACGGGTTTTTTTGTCTTGCCCTAAGCTAAACTCACTTTTAGCACCATTTCTTGCTTCAGTTATCATGCCCTTACATCTAAGCTAAGAGCTGCCTGCAACGGACAAGAAACGTCCCCCTCATCATTGCCCAGTTAGAAAGACATACAATTTTAAAGAGATAAAGTCAATACAACTAGGAGAAATGGGAGGAGAGCAGAAGCCTTCAGCTAACTTCTAAATCAAGAGCTAAATAGGCTGAGTTACCACGTTCCACTTCCCCCAGCACCAGGCACTACAGTAACCTGCAGCCAACTAACGCAACATACACACAAATTGTGTTTGGGTTCACAGGCTATCATAGCAACGACTTCGACAGAAAAGCAAGCCAGCTTTAGGACAAGGCCTTCTCCAAGTCCAAACCAGAAATACACACACCTATAGCAGGCAGTAGCTGCTGGCCAGTACAGCCCCCGATGCCCCAGCACCTATTCACACTTAGTGCCCCAGAGGCATCACCCACAGTAAGATTTCCTCTGACAAACCCACAAAAGTCTGGGCACAGCCCATGCGGAGTCCTGTCCCACATCTCTGTTCCGCAGCAGACTGTGCTACTTCACAGCTCTCCCCTTATGAGCAGCAAGAAATCATTTTTTCAAGAAGCATGGCCAAGCCACAGCTGAAAACTGGGACATTTTCAAGAATGACTGAAAACAGAAATAAATTGCAATCCGCACATCCAAGACAGTTAAAATAGATTTAAAGCACCCTAGATGGGTAAAAGAATTGGTTTGGCAACGCAAGTCAGCCCCCAGTTTCATCCCGCTACGAAGCCACAGCCATGGATACAGATCAACGCTGCCTGTGTGTCCAGATTTCCAAATATCATTTTCCATATGGTTTTAAGTTGAGACGGTTACTCTCAGCTTATTGCCAAGAACCCAGTTCTGAAAAGTGTTCACTAAAACAACACTTTAACCGTTGGAAGCTGGAGCCTCAGTGAAGTATTAGAAGTGGAGCTTAAAATACCACTGGACTTAAAGTTAGCCTCAGAGGAGTTCAGCTTCCATGCACTAGGTGCAAAACAACATCACTGACAGCAGACTGGAACATCACAGAAAACCCGCAGATTACTACGCATCAACAGACCTCAGACTGTTAGTCAACAGTGGAAGATAAAGTGTGGGCACAGCGCATGGAGCAGAACACCAACGCATGTTTTGAGACAGAGCTGTTCTTTTCAGATCAGTGAATCATAAAATATTTTCTGTTATGCAACGCTACATCTAATGAGCTAAAAATGGCTAGAGAAATAGCATGGGAAATACGCAGAACTTGTATTGCAGCTTCATTTCCCACAGGTTTAACAAGTAGCTGCATAACCTGGAAAAAAAAATTCTATCCACACTTGGAATTTTGGCAGGTAATTCAAAAGCAAAAGTTTTCAGAGTTAAAATAAATCCTTGCAGAAAAGCATACTATTAAATTTTTCACAGTGCAGCAATTTTAATACTTCTTTGAACTTTCACAGAAACGGTTACTGACATCTCAGGAGAGTTGGGAAGAGGAGACTCAGACCTCTGCTCCTCACCCATTAGTCTCCTCCTTTCCTCCAAGAGGCTGAGATCTGTCCTGCAAAGACCTCACACTATAAAGACCCCCGTATCAAGGGTACTGAGACTCCCCTCGCTGCTCAGGGCCTCGCACGGCCGTCTAACCTCTCTGTTCCCACGCCCGGCGAGGCTTGGTACAGCTCTCCTCCGATGCTCCCCGGCGGAGAGGGCCACTGCTCGGCAGAGCCTGCAGCCTGCCTCTGGCCCTTCGCACCCCGACTGCCAGGGCACAGGCGCCAGGCAGCTACAGCACGGCTCCAGCCCCACGGGGCAGGAGAGGCAGAGCCCAAGAGTCACCTCAAACACAGCAACACGCAGAAGTAACAAGCACCTAACAATTCTGGTGGTGACTGCCATGAAACTACAGACTGCAATGCCGCAAAACACTCCTGACTCATGCTTCACGGGACGTGATGAAAAGTCACAGTGACGGAGACTGACACACACACACTGCACAGTGCCAAGCATCAGCGAGATGCTGAGCGTACACACCGATTCAGATCTTCACTTGCAGAACAAAGCCACACACAGACAGCAAAAGCCAAGGATACCAGCAAGATCTCTCACTTTGTTTTGCTCATTCACTTTTGGCTTGCCGTGCATTCCACAAATACGCAACTCCAGAGAAAAACACGTACAACCACGACCACCCCGCACACGCCTGTTTATTTCCGTGGGGTTTCTCCTACCTGGAGGTAAGGGCACAGATGACCTTGCTCCACTGCTCCACTACGGCAGGGTGATGTCGCCAGTTGGCCACCATCTCTTTGGCAGTTTTCCAGTAAGGTGGTGTTGGGAAGCACCGCGTACAAGCCAGTAACCACACCTCAAACAGCACGCCAATTAATTTTTCAGCCAGATTCTCAGCAATGCCACCTTGTAACAGAAACACCACATTAGTGAGGATTCAATCTAAATAACTTCAAGTACCTCCCCAAGGAGATTTCAGTTTAACAGCGTAAAGATTCTTAAGTCCATTTTCTTCATCATTTGTCATTTAAGAGTGATTCCTGATTGCTTCCCACAGCCAATTAGTCTTTTTACAAGACCAAACGTAATATATAAAGCCCAGACACAGACGTGTGTCACTAAGGGACACTTGGAATTCACTGATCTTCGGCTGTCCTCTATTGCACTCCATATTGATGCCCTTTTTTTTTTGTAAATAGGTATAAACTGACAATATTATATTCCAGTAGGCAGTTCAAACAGCAAGACACATAGGGGTTTCAGTGAAGCAAATAGGAAACAACATTATCTGAAACCCTTCACCACGAACTGTTCCTCCACAATCACTTTTCTGCAAAAATAGATTTAGGAGACCTCAGCCCCAAATCGTTCAGTCTTTTCTGACAAAGCTTTATTTCAGAGTAGCACAGCAGAATTAAGAGCAAGCCGTTGTGCTTCGGTGGCTACTAAGAGCTTTTAACAGGTTTCCGCCCGTTCCCCTGGCAGCATCAAGCAGAGCCAAAGGTTTTTCCAGTAATTGAACCAAATGGAAGTTGAACAGGAACCTTGCACAGTTGGAGCTGCTAGAAGAGTGTCATTGATCTGAAGAAGAAACAATAACAAAACCTCCCAGGTTTCTCTTGCCATAATTGTCGATTCACGAGCCAGTTTCTGGACAGCTTTCAAAACCTGCAAGCACAATCTAATCTGACTAGATCCTGGGTCTGGCCTGCAAGAGAAGAAAACAATACTTGAGTCTCTCAACAAGAACTATAAAGTGATGCATTCAATAATCTGAACTGAGCAATTTCAAGAGGAAACATCAATATTATTGAACAAGCGCCAAGAACATGAGCTAATATGCTTCTGTGCACCCTACCTCTGCCTTAATGAGCACAAGACGTGCTGTAACATTCTTCTCTACACGACACAGGACTCGCCACCATAGAGTGAACACTACCTGGAGCAAGCACAACCTATTATCCCAAAGGACTTTATCTGAGACCAAACAATGAGAACGTAGTTGAGACATCACTAACCGTCACATACATAATTCAGAAGGAAAAAGGCAAAAATAGGAGAAAATACTGCTAGCAAACTAATTTCAATTCTTCCTAGTTGTCCTCTTGCTTCCAAATGTAGATCTAACTCTTACCTCCAATACCTTGGATTTAGGAAAAAAAAAAAATTCTAGAAGAGGGTTATTAAATAAGAAAATCACACTAAAGGAAGAGAGGATAAGTAAGGAAGACAGGGCACAAGTTGGTATTATCGAGGTTTTCCCCATGGTAACACCCAGTTCAACACTGTCACTACCGAGTCACTCAACACGAAGTGTGGCAGAGGCAGCACAAAGCAGCATCCTCTCTTCCCATCACTCCGCTGGGACAAGGCAGGACGGGTACAACATACTAACATGGAACGTTCTGGACAGTCTCTGAGGACACCGGCAAACAAAGCTGAGAAAGCCTAAAAGTGGGAAAGAGGAGGTTACAAATTTGAGTATGCAATATATACAAGCCATACTTCAACTTGTAAGCAGCTTCCTCATCCCTCCTACCACTTACTGAAAGGATGACAAAAAATATCATAAAAAATATTACCTTCCACTGGCCTACCAAGCAGTATTACCAGATTCCTACCAAATGTTCTCAGCGTGGTATAACCCACAAGCCATGCTGCATGGCAAGCATCTTAAGAACACACTGATCCACTAGATAGAGATCTGCTTTTCTTAAGAGAATAGTAGCTTGCATTGAGCTCACTTTTTGACAGACACGCTTTAAAAATACTATGAAGTCTTATCTTGATAGAGTAAATGTTGTGTTACAGTACAGGAAACAAGGTTACAAAGAGACAAGGTAATATCTGAAGCCAAATTACTGACTGCTAGTCACAGTAGTGCTAGCTCCTAACAGACAGTCTCTGTAAAACCAAGCCTGGGACAAGTAAGCCCTGCCTTGGTTACAGCACTGCTTTTTCCCTGAGCAACAACAGAGCAGATACTCTAATCAAAAGACGATATCCTTAATCTGGATAGGCTTGAAGTTTCAAAGCCTATTTCAAGACTTGTTTCCCTAACGATTTAGGGAACCTATATGAAGCAGGCTTACATGTAGGAGCTCCATACGCAAGACGACTAATGGGCTATTTCTGAGCAAATCTGGTAAAGGCAACTCTGAAGTCCCCGTCCATCTACCAGTTCCTCTTGTCCAATGTCAACTGAATGGCAGACGTTGGCTGCAGCATTTTGCAGACCCATGTCCAGATTTCTACAGAGCCTGGCCTTTTCATTCCCATACGCCTTTGCAACAAGAATTGTTCTCATGATTTCATATAAGAGGCAGAAGTTATAAAAAAAGGTCTATTACACTTGGACAGTCACACGTTCCATGGCCTCTCAAGCAATTCCAGACATTTTAGTTACACAGAAGACCCTGGTATCTACACCTCAGCCTCCTGGGAGAGAGTTCTCGTATTTTCTTTCTGGGCTTCCAACAAGAGTTTGCGGCACTGAAACGTCATCTGACAGCAGTAACTACCACAGCTGCTTAAGTAATCCGCAAGGCTTCCTGAGCGTCGTAGGGTTGCTAGAGACAGCCAGCCTGGGGTTTGCATGGGGACTGCTCGAATACATCAAGAAAAGAAGTGTTCATTTCATCGGGGTGGACAGAAGGGCAGCACTAGAGGGAAGGAGCCAAGAACCCTCCCTCCAGTCAGTCCGGCAGACAGAGGACAGGCAACCGACTCACCCGTTTCACCGCTGTTATTTTCCAGCACCACGCTATTTGAAGGACTGTGCATCTGACCATTTGATTTGGCTGAGCATTCAAACTAGAATGATTTATACACACCTGCTTTGTAGCTTGTGTATACTTGCTCCTGAGAAGCTATTTAAGTTGAACTGCTCACTTAAGGCTGCCACATTTCACATCACAACTACATATCCTCCTGAGGGTCTGAAACCCCCACCGCAACTCTGGGCCACCAGCTTCAAGGCAGACAAACCAACAGCTACATCATGTCCAGGAAACCAGGATGAGGAAGGAAGCTATTTTAATCACAACACTCCATGGGACACAGGCTTAGAATAAAGGCTTAGTATTTTCAGCAGAAGAACAGGATTTTTCCAGGAGATAGTTCAATGCAGGTGGCTACGTCATCTCCTGGGTAAGTATTCTACAGACGCCCACCAGCACCAGCATCAACTGGTTAAAACCAGCAATTATTCTCCCCTTGCCCTCCACAGGCACATAAGAACGTGAGCCTTTGCTTTCACTCGAACAAGGTGTGCACAACTCGGTTCCGCATTAAATTTCCATTACAGAATGTCTTCCTGTTGCTGGAGCGAACTCTGAACACAACTCCCTGGAGGACAAAACTTGAACTTTAAAACCCTTTTTCTTAAAAACAGAGTAAGGACTTGAATATCAAGTGTTGACAGCAACGGCCATGAAACACAGTGTTTCAGATAGATCTCAGAGGCTTTTGAGAGAAAAACAATAGAGTAGTTACACTGGGGGGCAGGGGGGAAGTGTTTAAAATAATGATTTTCCGGCCCTCCCTGTCTCTGGATGTTAATTATTTCGTTCAACAGCCATCACGTGCAGTCTATCACCCTGCACCAAGCTCCTTCAACGAACTTGGGAGAGAAGGGTGGAGTGGCAGCCTGTGCCAACAGCATGCAAGAAACAGGACTACTGAGCTGCCTGCTACCAGGGCCCCTGGTGTGAAAGCAGTTAAGAGCTCATAGTAAGAACTATTTAATGGAATAGTGATGAATTCTTTCTCTGCTGTGCCAAGGGAACAAATGTTCCCAGACAGTAGACACTACTCTGCATGTATTTAAGCTTAGAGACAACCTTCTGCAGAAGTCTAATCCAGAAGCATGCCTTCTTCAGATTTGTGCCGTTGCCCTGATCATCCTTTAATGGGAATTAAAATGGCTTTTCTGCTACAAGTTCAGAGCAATAACAACTAAGGTTAGGTGGTAGACTTTGCAGCAATCAACAGATATAAAGGAACTCCTCATCTGAATTTGTAGGAGTTACTATTCAAAGCCCTTTATTAACAAAGCCTTTGGGTAAAGTTAAGTGATCCAAGCGCAGCAGAGCACTCTGAAGGCCACTTGCAGTGCTACATTATTAATACTGACAACAGCAGAGGATCTGGTACTTACAGACATATACTAAACACTGATCTCAAGCAGTTTCAGGTAGCTAACATTTAAATACTGTTTCACAGGGCACCATTAAATAATCTCCTCTTACTTATCCAACACGTGTTCAACAGCAGCAGGTAAACTTGTCATAAACCAAGTATGATGTTTGAGCCCTCTGACAACGTCACTTTGTCTAAGAGCTAGAAGCGTGTGTATCTCAACATTATCGTCCAAGATGTCTCGTGTAACACCAGGTTGTCAGACACCAAGCAGGATTCTTTTGAAACTACCAGCAAAAGACGGTCAGCGTAATTACGCCCATTCAACAGGCAGCAAGATGCAGGCACAAAGCAGTCACTTACTGTAACATCCTCCAGCACATCAGAAATGTGGCCAAGTCTTGAGTAAACAAAGCATGATGTGCTCTTAGTTATCTCAGTTTTACACAATACCAAGCACGTGGTCACACAGTGATGCTATTTAACCTCTCCCCCCACCATCCAGTCATCTAATACAGACGCAGTTCTTAGAACAGTACATCTTCAAGCCTATGAACAATCTGTAATTCTAATTACCTAAACATAGCAGCAACAACTTAACTTGCTACTGAGAAAAATCACAAAACAGGCTTGAAGAGACACCTTCCTCCTAACTTTGCAATGATAGCAGTCTTATTTTAATCGAGAGCCTCCACGGCTCATCGGGCCTCTTCAACAGGTTACCTGTTGGCTACAGCTTCGAGCTGCTGAGCCTCCTGAGCATCCCAGCCCTAACACTCACCTCGGTACAAACAGATTTTGGAGATGTTTGAGAATGCTTTGAACGTAAAGGTTTGGTTCCTTAATAACTGGTAAAGGAATGGAGTCCTTAGGTAACACAAGAGCCATAATCCAATCCGTATACACATCGACACAGTACTTCACAGTATCGCCATCCAGAGGGAGGGTCAGTCCATAACAAACCACCTCCATAGTCCATTTTACCTAACCAAATACAAAGCAACAGTAATTAAAAACAAATATTAGAAAGTAAACAATGGTCAGTGCACGTTGGTTCTAAGTCAACAAAATAACAGTAGTTCTGTGGTACAGGCAACTCTATTTAACATATACTGCATGAAAATACCAAGTCATTAATTTGTGTATCATGACATTATGAAGATTATGAATAAATTGCAAATCACTCTAAATCCTGAGTCTGCTTAGTCTAACCTGTAGATAGAGCTCTTCAGAACACACAAGACCTGATGTAAGGGAAGTTTTTCAAAATCTAGTAAATATTTGTACTAGACAAAGACTTTTTAAAAGTCACATACTGTTACTTTAAAAACAAAGATAATTAGAAAGGCTTTATGTGTCACCTGCTAAATTCTTTGGTTGTTTTGGGCTTGTTTTTTTTTTTTTTTCCTTCTCTTTAGCCTGAACTTCCTGGTACAGTAGCTCAGATAAATGCTATGAACTAGCTGTTAATAGAAGCCTTACGTAGATTACTAACCTAAAAATATAACTTCATAAAACTTGGACTATTAAAGAGAGAAAAATAAGAGGCTATAGAAAATCAGTAAGTTGTCACTCTAGCACGAAGAAAACTATGATCTCTAAGGAAACGCACTTACTTCTTTGTCTGTTTTTAGTAAACTCTCACTTCCAACGGACGATGTAATTAAAGCTTGTCCAAGAGGACGCACCACCGCATTTGCCACTTCTCTCCCCACGTTTTCAGGATAGCTGTGAAGTACACTGGTATTACCCTGATCATTCTGAATGACAAGATGTAAGGATCTCCACTCCGAGTACATAGTGCCTCTATGCTACAATCCAAATAACACCTGGGGGTCAAGGAAGAAAAAAAAGACATAATTAGTAGAAATGTCTATGACATGAGTTACCAAAACTGAGGCTGTTTGCCATGATATGGACCCTTGAAAATTCAAGACGCACGTCCGTGTCGTACATTTGAAGACCTAGAAGAGATTCCAACAGCTGTTTTTCAACCTTCACGTGTTTAGGTTTTGGAGTTTTTGCTTGTTTAAAATATAGCCGTGAGCTTGTTTTTTTTCTAAAAAAGATTACAGTAAGTTTCAGCTAGGGAGCAGCCCTTAATTAGGCATGCCCTAATGCATTCCCAATCCTTGTAAAGTCAATACACAGAGTCACTCCCTCATCCAGATTTGTCCCAAAGATTCAGAATAGAAAAGCCCCCAGAAAAATGCCCAGACAGCACCCTCAGAACTAGACCGAAGAAGTGCAGAGTTCTCCTTTCAGCAGCGCTTCCGCACAGCAGCAGTTGTGCATTTTCCCTTGCTGCAGACTGCGCCAGCTCCGGGAGCCACGCTGAGAGTGAACGAACCAGGCTCTGGCAGTGGTGGGCTTTTGGAAGGGGGCTGTGGCACTGTCGTGAAATCACAACCAAGAGAGGTGGATCCGAAGCAGAAGTGAGGCCGCGCTCCCACGGCCACTCTCAGGCAGCACATGCCCAGCAGCACGGCAGCGTGTGCCCCTCCGCCCGCGCTCAGCCAGCGCAAACCTTCTGTCTGCCGAGGTAGCTTTCAGCCAGATCAAGACCTGCTCTAACTCAGGCGAGCTGAGCATCTGTGCCAGCCCAGAGGAGCAGGAGGACACACGGCCGGGAGGGCGGCAGGAGCATCCCTTCCGACAGCAGCAGGCTTTTGCACCCACCCACAGCAACGCTAAAGCTGCTCCTTAAGCAGGTGGTGCCGCGGCAGCCTAAGCCACCACAACAGGGACTGCGCCGTCCCCCTCTTCCCTCCTCTCCCAGCAACACCGGCAGTCTTTTAGCAGTTATCCAACCCAGCTGAGCATGTGAACAACAAAACAAGGAAAACAGGGCTGGCACGGGAGAAAAGCAAGGAGTGTTCAACAGCCACAGCTTAGATCAGCTCAAGCTCTCACGAATAGCACCCCAAAGACCGTTCACCAACTAAACTTAGTTGGCACATTTTGGAAGCCAGTTATTTATACAGGGAATATTTTGAATGCTTGCCTTAGACGTTCCTTGGCCCCAAACCAAATAAGAAGCCAGACCTGGAAATACACCTTCCTAGGAAGAAAGCCACCATTTAAACAGGTCTACCTATTTAGCTAACTCCCCAAGCGTTTGTTTACACCCAAAACCAACGTGAAAAGCCTGATAATTCCCTTCAAGGGAGGAGGGAAGGCAAGGCAGCAAGATCTTAGTTTTCCAAACTGCGTCCTTCCAGGTTTGAGGCAGTGGTCACGTGCACTCATCTGACAGCAAATTAACCAGAGCAGCCACAGCCTGCAGGAAGCACGTCCTCTCTGTCCTTTAGGCTTTTCCTCTCCTCTGGGGGCCGTGGCGGTGGGCATGCGCGTGCCACTGTGGTCAAAGCCCTCAGGCTTAGAGGAAAACAACAATTCCAAGACACTAGCTCTCAGGACAGAGAAGTCACAATAACAAAAAAAAAAACCCAACAAAAAAAACCCAACCCCAAACCCCTCAAATGAATATGACTCACAGTCCTCAGTGATGGCTTCAGTCACTGCTTAACTTACCACATAGGTTTCCCTACTGCTATCTTTTCCCCTTTCTTCGTATCCCATACCCACTGGGCCCCTGCATCTTCCCCCTTCTGTCCCACCTGAACACTGTCTTAATGTTTGGAGCAGACCAGGAAGGGACAGAAGCAAAATACCATCCACTTTGCAAGACTTCCCCTTCCCTCTCAGGCCCACAGCACTGCCTCTACCCCACAGCAGCGTGGCTCTGCCTCCTGCTTTGGTGCACTCTCCATCCCTCCCATTTGACACCCGAGCTCATTACAGCAGCAGGCACCACCATTTGAGGAGGGTTGGTTTAAACAAACAGATTTCAGCTGATAAAGCAGCAGGTACTTTCCATCACCACACTCCAGCAGAAGGACTGGCAGTGAGCAGCTCACGGCAGGAACTTATCAGCGTGCTGATAACTGCAGGCAGGCTCACGGTGGCTGCCCTTGCACCAGCCCAGGGCTCTCAGAAGCACGGAAGTGTTGCACAGCACAAGCAAACTGCAGGCAGCGGCTGTGTAGGAGCTTTCTCATCTAGAAGACAAAAGTCAGAGGAGAAGGATTTCCAGCTCCCGCTGCATTTTGGAAAACTCGCATCGCACTAGGGCAAGGCAATGGGCGGACACAACCGCCTGCCTCCATGCAGCTCCCTGCCACGCTGCAGCAAAGATGCAGAGGTCTTTTGGGTGACCCTTCCACACCTCGAAGAGGAGCAGCATTTGTAACAGACAGAGGACAGACAGAATATGCCATGCTTAAGAGAGACTTCGGAGCAGGACGGGGTAACCAAAACCTCTGGTGCCACATACTCCCAGCCTGCTGCCTGACCTTCACACATATTAACGATCAAATTTGTATCTTATTAATATTCCAGACTTCCTTCGGTCTTGCCATAAAAGAAATCTGTGAGTCATCAATATACAAGGAATACTGAAACAAGTAATTGCTTCAGATGTAAAATCCTCTTGAGGAGGGATTTCCTAGGGTATCGATTTATTTGCCCCCTACACTTAGCAGTAAAAACATCTTATTTGTAAGGACTAGAAGTTACTTTTCATTTAGGACCCCACTTCAACTGCCATTTGAATTGGAAATTGTTGCCCTCTGTTCAGACTGGGGTACAGCTAAACCCATCTACTAAGCAGCTCCCTATAACCGGACACCAGTAAAACCAGGCCGGTAAGGCCCCCCCACATCTGCCCCTGTGACGCTGTTCTGTTTCGACAGATTCAACACGCTGACAGCTCTGTCACTTGATACAAAAGGCACCTAATGTTTTGCAGAAGCACAACTCACTCCCTCAGAAGAGACTGTATTTATCACTAACTACTTCAACAGCAACAGCAAACTAAAAAGAAAAAAATTTTAAAAAGCGGCTGTGAAGCCATGCAAACAGCATACCCAGCTTTTCATTTCTGTTTTTGCAATGCTGCTGCATTTCAGTGTTAAAAAAATCACTCTCACTGGCCCAAATGACATCTCCTAAGTTTCGTGCAGCTGAATATTCATATTTCACAGAAACACTTGTCTTACTGAGGTTCAAATCACTAAGGACTCTCAGAATGAGAGGCAACGTAATTAAGAGGAGGGGTGGGAAGAAAAATAAATAAAACCCTGAAGTTTACCAAGCAGTTTTACACAGTTTGGAAAGGGGTCTTGTTTATGTTTCTGGAGGCTGCACTAAATAAAACATCCCCAGATTCTCACAGAGAGCCAGCTCTGCAAAGAAACTGTCAACATTAACACTGGCAGAACAACCGAGAGATGTGAAGTTAAAATATTTACCATCTACTACGAAATTGAGCATAATTCCAATATTCCTTAGTGTGATAAATAATTTGGGTTTCCATATATTCCCTTCAGAACCATCTCAGCTTAGAAATTTTAGTAGCTATCACCATATAAGCCACTGAAAATGGATGTTTCAGCATTTAAGACCAAAGATCTTCAGCTCAGTAACACTGCAGAAGTTGGCGAGCGTGAAAGAATTTACTAATGAGCCCATAAAACTCCAAAAACAAAGATATTTAAGTTCTATTTCCAGTCCCCAAATACCTAATATGAACAGCTGCAGCCAAAATATTTAAACTCGTGGATCAGTAAAGTTAGGCAGTGAGAATTACCTAACTAACCAGCCCCACATTCTGCAGCTCCTTTGGAGGAATACGCAGGAGCTCAGAGCCTAAAGCGGAGGCGGACTTTTGGAGTGTGTGCAGGGGAGAGGGCAAGGAACCAACACTGGTGTATGAAGCAGCTTCTCAGGAAGCGTGCGCTGAGTGAGGGGGGTGTTGGGGGCAAACACGAGCGTTTAGCCCTTTGCGCTCAGCAGCTTCATACGTAAAATGAAATGTTTGCCTACAATGCAAAAGGCTTTCAAGCACAAAGAGAAGCTGTCCCAAAAATGGATGCTTCCTGGGTTTCATCAGAACCAAAAAAGCAGAGCCTGAGCTGAAAATATAACCAAGCAATTGTTATTCCTGTAGTGCAAAGACCATCAGCACAGAGATGCCCAAGGAAGACTGAAGACCTAACAGAGCCTACACCAGAGAAGCATCACCATAAAGGGTCTGCATGAGAAAGTTCTGGGATATCAGGTATACTTGATGAGTACCTCACAAAAAACAAGTAATCCCTCTCTCTAACACCAGCAGTACTGACACCTGCTCTCTAGAGGCAACAGGTACTGCCAGAAAGCCACCTCGCTAGAACCCGATTTCCCTGGATCCAAACCAAAGAGGTTTATGAGGAATTTTCCAAGCCAGCTGAGGCCTACGACATCCTGAGCACAGACAACTGCCACATGCCCCTCTGCCCTCCAAGTCTGCCTTGGAGAGAGCAACTCGGAGCTTGCCAAGATGAACTCAGCACCTCTCGCATTAAGCCCACCAGGGCTGAAGAAGCGCAGAGCCCTCTGGGCAGCTAATCTCTGCTCTGCCCTAGGCACGGGCCCTGTGTGAAGGACAACGGCAGAGCAGATAGCAGGCGAAAAATCAAAAAGGCAAGAGCCAAACAGAAGACCTATCCGAGAGAAACGCTAGCAGGAAGTTAGTGTTTTGTTAATCCAGTATTTTGTTAAAGAGTAAATGGAGATCCATGTCAGGATTACTATTAAATGAAAAAAAAGTCGAGATTCAAGGCAGGAAGAGACCAGGCACAGAAAAAACAGGAACTCATGTCATCCTTTCCCAGGCCGTTCAGCCACAGGGCTACTGAGTAGAAGAGAATCACAGCTCTCGTTGCCCAGGGTAGATGAATTTGTCTGATTTTATCAC